TCTTTTTACACTATTGTCTTACCTATTTTGTGAAGAACAGTCACCAGCTGCTCACCCCTCCAGCTACTGTCTGTCAATGCTGCTTCTAAAGATACTGGCATGCATCAACCTAAAATCTTAGATTCAAGATAGTTGCTTCCCTGCAGGGTGCAGTTGCCCTCTCTGTCACCAAGGAGAGTGCTGTGTTCCCATGCTAGCAATATTGATATTTGAGAACTTGTCTTCGCTGGGGGCTGGCTTGGCTCTTCTACTTGGTTAGGTCTTGGACCATGTACGTAATAATGACTGAGACTTCATGCTTCACACTGGGAAGCAGCTTGAGACAGGAAGAGGAAATACCACTTTCTAGAGCATTACATCTGTAAATACATAAGCAGTTAAAATGCATCAATGTGTTAAAAAAGTTATGTCTGCAGTTTTTCATTTGATACTTTCTCTGTAAGAATGAGTACTACATTAACATAAGAAAATGCTTACTCTACTAATTACAAAATAAAGTGGCCACGTTCTTTAAATACTTCATTTGCATCTTCCGCTATCCTGTGTTTAAGTGTTGCTCTATGAAATTATAGAAATTAGTTGTAGAACCTTGCTTCTGGAGGAGGTTTTATATCTCTTATATATATATATGTACATGGTCTATTCCTCTAGAGAGATTCTATAGCAGAAATGGAAGTGCCATTCAAAACAGAAATATGAATATTTGGGAAACTGGTCTTAAATATCCAGATTCTGGTTCTCCAGGATGTCTTGAATATTAGCCTTCTAATATATATTTGGATCATAATTTACACAAATTTATAATTATTTTAGGAAAGTAGTCTTTTTAGCTGAACAACTGAGTTTTTAGCTTAGGGTCTTTTAGCGTCTCAGCTACATTAATGTACAGGCTTTGTGAACTTCTGTCCAAAATGAATGTATGTCCTGCCACTGAGGGTGTTAGATGCGAGGAGAAATGTAACAGAAAAAGTTACTTAACTGGGGATATAGTGAAATCTCTGAAGTAAAAGGCTTGCAATGGAAAGAGGCAGGAGTGTTTCCTCAGACCTGGAAAGTGCTACATCACAGTGAAAGCTGCTGTGTTTGCTTTGTGAAGCAAATCTGAAGACTGGAAGTGGACTCTCTTTCTTCTCACTGGCCAAGACTTAACCAGCAGAAAAGGCTCTCTTACCTGACCTTCCAGTTTCTCTTCATAAGTCTGCTTATTTCTGCTGTCTTTTGTTTTCTTTGCACCTGAAGTTCTCATTCTTGCCTTATTAGTTTGTGTACCCTGCAATTCAAGCAAAACTGCTTGTATCTTCTCAGTTTGCCTGCCTTTTTCAGGCTTCTGGTGAAGTTAAGCAGTGGCTGCAACAAACAAGTATCTTGGTGCATGAGAGTAGCTACATCCAGAACTTAGTGATGCCAGTGTGTCAGTACACAAATGGAAAAAAAAATCTCGTCTTGCACCTTCTTTCATAAGTGCTGGGATTCTCTTGTTCTAGGCCATGTAAGAAAATAGCATCCATGGTGCCTGATTATCAGTTCCGCTCCTGTTCCTGATTACTTAATTACTGTTTTCCACCCTCTCCACACTGACTTTTCAATCCAGGAACTGTTTTCAGCCACTTGAAAGAATGTTGATGTTTTTTTAAAAATTCTGTACTCACTTCCATGAAAATAGGTTTAAACATCTCATTGTTAAAGTAGTGTGATCTTTCTCAGTTTCCACTTTCACCTGAAGAAAGCTTGGAGTATTCCTCATCCCATTCTGAAGGGTGCTTTGTCTGTCCTCTTTTTCATCCTTTGCAAGAAGCGAGGATTTTGCTTAATATTTATCCAGCCTTGTCCCACAAAAATGAGATGAAGGAATTGGTATGAAAATGTTGGCATTAAATGAGGCAAGATCCTACCTTCTGTATGGAGGGACACACTGGAAGAGAATAGGGGATAGTTTTGCTGATAGTTAACTTTGGAAGTACCACGTTAGGAGGGACTGTTCAAATTACAGCCCAGTGACCTTGTATTACCTGTAGCACATGTTCCTGAAGGAACATTACTTAGGTGCCAAGGCTTTTGACCAGAAAGGCAGGAGTATCTTTCATGTGCCACCTGCAAAGAAAAAGGAGTAGATGTGGAGGCAAATAAAATATGGCAACAGATTTTTAGCTCCTTTGAAATTTACTCTTTTTTTCAACTCTGGTTTCTGGTTTATCTGGTAAAAATTGGTGTGGTTTGTATATGTGTTTTTTTGCTGAGGCCTTTGGGCTGAAGCTTGGTTTTCACTCTAAAGAGGGTCTTGTTCCCTCCCAGAGTTTCTGCACCATGCTCTTAGGTGGTTGGTCCAGTTGAGCTTCCAGAAGGAAGCTTCTGCAAGATTAAAATAAACTTAAAAATAGTATGTTTTAATTATTAAAATCTTTGCTTATGATAGTGAATTACATTTCAGTATTTGAAGTATGAAGCGGGATCTTTTTTCTTAGGAAGATGTAAGTGAAAGCTATGTCACTCTTGTCCAGGAAAATTATACCCACCATGAATTGTGTTTTTGTACAGTACCATGGGATTCATCAGGCAGTGGTGTGTGCAGCTGTTACAGACACGTTCATCTCTCATGCAGGGACAAGTGGGGTATGCCTAATAGAAATAACATGAGGGGCCAAAAGTTAACTCAAAAACTGAGACATTTCTGTGAGCCTCTGTTGTGTTTCCAGTCCTGGTGTTAGAGCATGGGGCCTTCAGAACCTTCTGAAAAATATATTGTTTTGTCAATGATCTATGTAATAGGTACTAATTCATGTAAGAAAGTCACCACCTGGATCAATTTTTCCATTCCCCCTATGTTATGGGTTAGATTCCACTACTGTGTATTTCCTTGGATGATTTTTAGATGTGTCGTAGATGAAGCCTGAATTATACCAAAAGATGAGGCCAAGGAGACAGATGTTCAGTGGTGTGTATTCTTTTGTTCTTTCCATTCCTAATTAGAACACATGTATTAGAAGCTGAGGGGGATGTAGGGCTAAAGTACAATCCTCTGTGAAATGCTTTGTCTGTGCAATGGATGCACAGGCTAAATGGTGCAGTCTGACTCTTTTTCATGAAGTCCTGGGATGCTTCCTGTTATGATTTAACCCCAGCTGGCAACTATGCACCAATAGCTGCTCACTCACTCTCCCCATTGGGGTTGGGGAGGGAATCAGAACAGTAAAAGGGAGAAAACTTGTGCGTTGAGAGGAACACAGTTTAATAGATAAAGCAAAAGCTCCGCACACAAGCAAAGCAAAACAGGGAATTCACTGACCACTGGCTGTGGGCAGGCAGGTGTTCAGCCTTCCCCAGGAAAGCAGGGATCCCTCATGCATTACAGTTGCTTGGGAAAATAAATGCCATTGCTCCATCTTCGTTCTCCTCCCAGCTAAGTATATACTAAGTATGATGCCATATGGTATAGAATATCCCTTAGGTCAGTTGGGGTCGTCATCTGGGCTGTTCCCCTTCCCAAATTCTTGTGCAACCCTAACTTCCTTGGTGTTCTGTAGAACTGTTTTCAGGATGTGAAAGAGTTGTCACTTTCTCAACTGCATCTGCACACCTCTTGTCAAAAGGGCAACTACCCTCTAAGGAGCATCCAAGGGAGTGCTAAAGAGATGGTGAAGGGCCTAGAGGGGAAGCCCTACAAAGAGTGACCAAGGTCACTTGACTTGTTCAGCCTGGAGAAGAGGAGACTGAGGGGAGACTTCATTGCAGTCTACAACTTCCATGTGAGGGGAAGCAGAGAGACAGACACTGATCTCTGTGATGACCAGTGATAGAACCTGATTGAATGACCTGAAGTTGTGTCAGGGGAGAGTTAGGTTGGATATTAGGAAATTGGTCTTCACCCAGAGGGTGGTTGGACACTGGAACAGGCTCCTCAGGGAAGTGGTCACAGCACCAAGCCTGACAGAGTTCAAGAAGCATTTGGACAACACTCTCAGGCACATGGTGGGATTCTCAGGGTGTCCTGTGCAGGGCCAAGAGTTGGACTCTGATGATCCCTATGGGTCCCTTCCAACTCAGGATTGCTGCATCCAGTTCTGGTCTCCTGGTGGACAGTTAATTTAGAATGGATATATCTGATGTCTGAATCCATGTTACTGGGCAGTTTGTATCATGATGATGCAAAAACTTACTGCGTGATGTTTTCTCTACAGTTCTCAGGCTAAGTAGAAGATAAATCATTTCCTTACCTACCAGCTTACCTCATTAGTGGCCAGTATCTACATATGCAATGAGCTGTACTGAATATGCAATATCTCTACTTTCTGAGGCCTTCTTTCCCAAGGTGATAATTTTAAGTGCTATCAGGATGTACACATGCATTGTCACAGTCCTATTTATCCTATTTTATCTTGTTATATTTATCTTGTGTCATGTGACCCTATCTGATTTACACAGTGATTTCAGTCAGATGCCGGTATTTGGCAGTGTAGAGATACAGTGTAGTGGTGTAACAACAATCATTTGAGCTGCATTCATTGCTGGTGCCATCAGTATCACGGAGGCCTTTCATGCTGCAAAACCTGAATATGGACCCAAGAAAGACTTATGTCAGCCAGGAATTCAGTAGGTTACTTTTGTATAACCTCATATAGGTTTGGCTAGAATGCCTGGAGGAAGATAGGTCTAAACTGGTATAAAGTGAGAGCTAGCACTGCTGTACACATTAAATGTTTCTAGGTGTGCCAGTCTGCCATTATTTTCCAAGTCCCTCAGGTTTTCTTCCCTCCCTTGTGACCTAACTTTTCCCTACTCCCCAGCCTCATGAATGTCTTCTTCCTTGCACCTGAAAGATTACTTTGTCATCATGTTAGTCCCTGATATCGTACATGGTCTGTCATGCATCCTGTACCCAGCTGCTACCTTTGCTACGTTAGTACATGGTTATAGGCTGGAGTAGAAAAGAAAATGGGAAAGGATGGTAGAGGAAACAAGTGCTTAGATTTGCCAATTCTTTTTTAATAGTTGAAAAGTAAAAATGGTCTAATCAGGCAAGCAAGTTCAAAGCTTAAAGAAAATAGATAAATGGTAGTGATGTTAATCAAAACACAAAATTATCAATCTAGTGGGAGCAGAGGTGTTAAAATATTTATGCAATATGTTCTCCCCTCCTCTTCCTAGCCTTGTAGTACCTATGGCCCTGCTGATGTAACAGCGTGATGGTGGAATGCTTGGGATAACTCATGGCTCCTGACAGCCTTCAGCAGCCACGACATGAGCTGCAGCTAGCTGAAGTTGAATCTGGAGGCAGTGCACAAACAGTTCAGGTGGCATTAGAATCTGTTTCAGGAAGCCCTAATGCAGGTGTCTCAGCTGGTCATGATGATCATATGTAATTCTACCCAGATGGCTTTGGTCAGATCGTGCCAAGGATGGACTTGGCATTTGCCCAGAAAATCCTTTATGGTAATTCTGAGGTCTTTGTGGTACCCTCCGCAGCCTCTGTTGACTTGTGTGGCAGGAGGGGTTGCAGGCAGCTGGGGAGCAGCAGGGCCCACTCCACAATCAGCAGAGACTGAACCACTGGAACTGAGCTGTGTGCAGGGCTGTTTCCTAAGGCCCATCTACTCTGGCATTGTAACTCTGGCAGAGCTTACTCAAGGCTAAAATTTGCAATTCTGTATATGGATGCCAGTATTGTTCATTCTACTTATCAATGCTCAGGAAGAGGAAATACCATCCATAGTGATAGCTACAGGTAACACAGTGATTGATGGGACAGTAAACATGGAGCATTTACTGTTGCAAAGCAATCAAAATTGCTTCCTTAGTCACAGTCCAACATATTTGGACCATAAGTACCATATATACTGGCAAAAAAAGTAGGCTACATCTGCAGGATGTGTTGTATAGAGACCTAAAAGTAGTTTCAGGTAACAGATGGCAACTCTCAGTCTGTTATATAAAATTATTTGTAAACGTCAGGAAAAAGATAAAAATAGAATTAATTTAGTCAAAAATTCCTGCAGATTTAAAGAACATATTGAGATTATATATGATGGGCAATAGGAGTGTTTGACAGGAAAATGATTGCAGTGCACTCAGTGTATTGAAACTAAGCCTAAATAGTGGAAGAGGAGGGCTTCCCCTCTCTTCATCTCCTTTGGAATTTATCAATGGAGTAAAAAGATGTGCAGCTTTTACCTCCAAAGTCAACACTAGTGTGGGTCACCACACTTCAGGGTTCAATCATGATGCATTGAAATCCCAAAGTTCTTAGACTAAGCCAAGGTAGCAAAGGCTGAGGTGATTTTACCATCTTTACTGACTCTGCTCTAGTCCCAGCTGTTACTCAAAATACTAAGACTTCACTACTTTTGCCCCTTTGTGCTTTGGTTTCTCCTTCTTTCTTTTCTAGTCCCTCTGATTTCTTTCTGTATGTTAGTCAAGTCTTATTTAATTAGCTGAAAGATGACACACTTTTTCATTAATAGTGGCTGGTATGGGAGAACCTAGTAAGACCAAAAGGCATTTTCTTATTTGTTTAGTATTCAGGATTTTTTCCTCCCTTTCTTTCTTGTTATGCCTGTACATCCCTTTTGGCTTCTCAGTGTGAATCTTTAAGCTATTTTAATTTGTTTTCCCATCCCTAAAAATACTGTTAACTCTATTACCAACATTTTGGTTTGTCAAGACTGCAAAAACAGGAGTGTTATTTCTGGTCTATATTTTGTATAAGTAAATTAAAGAGAAAGGGATACAACTGAAGATCTAGGTGACCCTTCAAGTAATTTACTGGGTAGGACTTGCTACTGCATCCCCCACTTTCTTTATAAAACACACGTTTCTGTATGCTATTCTGCTATGTAATTAAACAGGATGGAATTGCTGGGCTCGTAACCCTGACATTTTGTATGGTACAAGGCAGCATCGTGTTAGCTCCTTTGTACTGATAGACCAAGGTAGTCACCACAGGGACTACATCTCATTAAGCAAGGATTTAGAAAAGGGGCTGGTGTAGTTTCTTTGAAGTGGACTTCTGTTACATATCTTCACTGTACAGAAAGAAAGCTATTAAGCTGAACAAGGTGATCTTCCCATCATACAGCACTTGATTGTTGTATATGGATAAACTGATCATCTTAATTCAGAAAGAAAATGAGACTACTGGAGAGAATTCACATAATGAAGTGTTTGGGTAAAAACTATCAAGACACACCATATATGTAGTCAGCAGATCAAAGAAAAGGAGGGAAGATAATATAGCACTTATATATAGCAAAGTACACTGATTGTGTATATATACTGATTTATATATATAAAATTAATATATATAAAATATATAATAATTAAGTCACAGAAGATGCAGATGTATCTTATGCTATCAATTTCTACATTTGAGCAATTGACTCGGAAAAGTGTTAGAATTGGAGCATGCTATAGGTCTTAATAACTGTCTCTTTGAACAATGCACACAGATCCACATTTGATGTTTGACATTTGAAAAAGTTATATGGCTGTTGTATAGAACAAGTGATGACAGTGGTACTGCTTGGCCAAAACCGTACCTGGGAATGACTGTCTTCAGCATCAAACTCCATGGCTACTTAGTGGCTTAGCTTTTGTAATAATTTCAAAGCCTGGTCATCAAAACAGTCAGCTCTTTCTGCTTGCTGCTCTGGGCCCTGGACCTCTCTTTCTTAGGAGGCAGTAATCCTGCCATCCTTGCTGTGCTTAAATTCTGCAGCTCCATTGAGTTCAAAAAAGAGAATGATTATGGTCATGGTCATTCTCCTCTTCCTGTAGTACACAAATCTGCAGAATTCCTATGGCTGTTGTTGCATCTTCAAAGTCAGTGGTTTCATTTCTCTTTTCCTCTTGTAGTCAAATAAAATCCAATTATTAACAATGCACTCTTGCATTATTATACACCAGTGTTTCTGCTATGAAGGGCAGTTATTGCATGCCTATAACTAGTGTTTCCTTGGCTGCACATCCTGTTGCCTTCATCATTCTAGAAATCGTGCTAAACTTATGTTCTTCATTCTGGTTTACAAGGCACCTCTAGCTTAGGGACATTCTTTTGGCCTTTAGAATGAGTTGCTTCTTTCTGTGATGACATTGAGTCATCTTTAGTGTTGTTCTGTCTACTGGATGTAGCTCTTCTGATGGTCATCTAAAGGTATCTGACAAGTATGTTGGTCATGCAATGCGCTCAGAGTTGTCCAACCACCAAACTATTTCTCGGTCCTGTCTTCCTTCTCTGCATCTGGGCAGCCTTCTGCCTCCCACTGGCAACAGCACTCAGCCATAGCTTCGTCAGCAGAAGCCCAGGGTCCTTAGGTCTCTTTTCCTTCTAGCTGTAGCAATGTCTGACCATCCTAATCTGTACAGAGAGAGTTATTCTATTCCATTCCCTTCTTGAGCAGCTATTGAACTCATTTTCCTCTGCCTGTCACCAAAAGCCAGGTTTTGCCTGTAGGGTGGTAGTGATTGAAAGCCCACTCCCTGCCATGCTTGGCCAGCTGTTGAAGACTTACCCAAAAGGTTACACAGCTACTACTCTAGTGACCTGGGAAGTGTGAGGAGCAGTGGCTGATACTGAGAGGCACTCCTCTTGTTCATTTTTTCACAGCCCTGCAGCTGTTTTTGCCTGGTTTTATATGCTGGAGTGTGAACTCACTTGGGAGGTCTTATGCTGTCACCTTAAAGGAAAAGGGCTAGTCAGTGGATATTCCATGTATGTCTTTTTTGGCTATAGAAGTTAACTAGGGAATTCATGGATCCACTGCTGTTATGGTCAGTATCCCTTTGAAGTAATACAGATCATATGCTCCATTTACAGAAGCATCTGAGCTGCTGCTACAGAAAGAAACTATCACTTAACATGGGCCATCAGATCAATCTGTATTATAGTCTGCTTTTCAATAAAAAAGAAATCAGAAAAGTTTTTATAAAGGCTAATTTCCTTAGATTTCTCCTTCTTTTGTATAGGAACGATACATTTAAAGTGTCTGTGTTTGTGCCAACAGATTTTTCTCTTAAGCTAGTCCTGAGAAATTGCTCTTCCTCTCCAAGGACACTCCTCTGTGGTCTGCTGTAGGCTAACCAGCTAAACTGAATCTCAGCCTGTTTCAACACTTGAAAGCTGCTGTTCACAGAATTTTTCAGGAAAGATGGACTGAGATTTTTTCAGCTGCCCAAAGTGAACTTGGGAAACCAGTGAGAGAACAGGGACTCAAATACAGTGGTACACAGATGGGTCTGGTGGTTTGGAAGCAGTCTGAAGCTATGCCAAAAATTACTACCCATTTCTATTAAACCTGTATGTACTTGTATGAGTCTGCAGCCACCTGCCATGGTATTGTGACCTAAACCAGACTAGTGCGTTCACTATATTGTTAGGCAGCATTCTGAAACCTGGTATTAATCCTGACTGAGAACATGGCTTCTTGTTTGTAGTTCAGGTGTGTTGCTGTATAATACAACTTGTTCAGCTACCTTTGTATTTCTAGTGAGAGTCTATAAAGCTCTACTTGTCTTAAAAAATACGGGAAAAAGATAAAGGAGCAAATAATCTCTCTGTCTCACTGTGATGCTGAGGTTATCAGAAATCCCTGTTCTTGTTATCTACAAAAACAAAAGAAGGAACTGCTTGAAAAGCAACCCATGCACTTATATTTTCTCCCACTCTCACCTTCTTGGGTTTTTTTTTATCCACTCTAACCTGAATTTGGCAATCTGCAGGATGGGTTGTAAATTACTGCATTGATGTCAATATTTGCAAATGATGGAAAGAAATTGGGAGTTCTTTGACTTGCTAGTGACTGAATACTGCTTCATGTAAGAACATGCTATTTCATATGAAGAAGTTAGCAAGTCCTTCAGAGCTGCAGAAATTTAAGATGAAGTAGGATCATTTTGTAGACCAGCAATAATTCCACTTCTTTATTGAATTTCCATTTTGGTTGGTTTTTCTTTTTGCATTTAAAAAGTTACTTCCATTCTCTCTCAAGTAATTTAGCAGGTTGAAACATGGACAGATCTTTACATGCATGTGGAAAATAATTTTCTTAAAATGAATACATCTATTCAGATACTTTTTCACACCTTTGTCTGATGGATCTTATTTTCCTTTTTTTTTCTTTTAAATAATTTTGGCCATTCCCATGTTTCTATTAGCTTTTCCCAAAAATACACTGTACAAGAGAGAATCCTGGGTCTGTGACTGAAATCAGATCAGTTTCAAACATAAACTAATGACCTCATTTATCTCGCATAAAATATATGAGGTTTATTTTTGTTGGAACGGTATTACCTTACCACG